AAATCTTATTAAATTGTCTTACCATATTGTCTATTTTAACGTAATACATTTTATTATTGGAAGATAATGAAATGGTAAAAAACCTTGGCATACATAATGAGGTATTCAAGTCAGACGTAAAGTTGGGAACTGTTGGTGTATGTTACTTTAAACTGGCACCTTCAATAATATATGAGTCATATATGAGTCATTTTTCATGGTATTTCATTATCTTTCAATAATAAAATGTATAACGTTAAAGTAGACAATTTGGTATAAGTATTCTTTTAAAATTAATACTGATCTTTTGTGATTTATTTTTAAAATATAAAAAACTGTTATAGTTTAACCTCTGACCTAGTTCAAGGTTTTGGAATGTAAGTTAACCAGTTTTCAATCACGTATATCTTCATTAGTATACGTTTACAAATTATTATTCCAATTAATAATTAATACTGTAGGAAAGCATTGTTCTGATAATCAATTTCGTAATAACATTATACCAAAAAAATTTATTACGTTTATTAACATCGTATTTGATTATAGGTATGTCTGGAGACACGGTAGTGTCTCGGCGCTAAGCCAAGCGCGAGACACTGCCGTGCCTCCTTTACGCGACATGGAGAATTTTTGGGGTCGAGATAATCATATCTCAGTAACGGCTGAACCGATCAAGTTCTATATACGCTCAATCGACAGGAAATACTTAAATTGTATGATAAAAGTGCTTTCATTTTCTTTCTACGTGCCCTACGAGCGGAGATATCGCGATGCAAAGTCCGGATCTGTGAATTTTCACGTTTCAATTTTAAGAAACGTCGTCATTGTCAACGTCGTCGACCAGAGAGAAATGTATGTCTCGTTTTTTCGATAATAGAGGGCCTTTGACTTTATGTGTTATCTCACTCTATCTATCATCTCACTCTATCTATCTATATCTAACCAGCAGACCAGTGTTGCATGGTGTATCACATATGACGCGCGCGCGATTTTAACTTTACAATTAAAAATAAAATATTATTCAATATAATATAAAATATTTATTAATAATATACATATGTTATTATATATATAAATATTAAAATTGAAATAT